CTGCAGGCGACCGAGCTGCTGGCGTCGCTGGTGCCCGCGATGCTCGAGGCGCGCGAGTGCCCGATCGACCCGACGGCCGACCCGGGCCCCGCCGCCGCCACGCCCCTCTCCGACGACCCCATGGTGCGCTTCTGGTTCCCCGTCCTCTTCGCCTTTTACGACGTCATCATGACGGGCGACGACCTCGAGGTGCGGCGCGTGGCGCTCGACTCGCTCTTCGCCATCCTCAAGGACCACGGCACCACGTTCCGCCCCGACTTTTGGGACACGGTGTGCCAGGAGATCCTCTTCCCCATCTTTGCCGTGCTCCGCTCGCGTTCCGACGTGACGCGCTTCAGCACCCAGGAGGACATGTCGGTGTGGCTCAGCACCACCATGATCCAGGCGCTGCGCAACCTCGTCGACCTGTGGACCTACTACTTTGAGACGCTCGAGCGGCTGCTGCCGGGCCTCCTCGAGCTGCTGTGCGCGTGCATCTGCCAGGAAAACGACACGCTGGCGCGCATCGGCACGTCGTGCCTCCAGCAGCTGCTCGAGAAAAACGTGACCAAGCTGAGCGAGCAGCGCTGGTCCCAGGTGGTCGACACCTTCCTCCAGCTCTTCCGCACCACGACGGCCCACCAGCTCTTTGACCCCGTGCTGCGGGCCGAGCACGCGGCGCCCAGCCCAGGCGACGCCAACGGCGCCCGTCCGCGGATCGAGACCAACCCGCTCGACGGCGCCAACGGTGATGATGCCGCGGCGGCGGCGGCGGCCGTGCCCGGCAGCAGCGACGGGCAGTCGCAGCAGGCAGCGGCACCGACGGCCGCCATGACGCCGTCGGAGCGGCGGCGCATCTTCAAGCAGATCATCGTCAAGTGCGTGCTGCAGCTGCTGCTCATCGAGACGACGCACGAGCTGCTGTCGAACGCGCTCATCTACAACACGATCCCGGCGTCGGAGCTGCTGCGGCTGACCAAGGTGCTCGAGGACAGCTACCGCTTCTCGAAGCGCTTCAACGCCGACAAGGAGCTGCGGATGGCGCTGTGGAAGGTCGGGTTCATGAAGCAGCTGCCCAACCTGCTCAAGCAGGAGAGCAGCAGCGCCGCCACCCTCGTCCACATCCTCGTCCAGATGCACTCGGACCGCCGCGAGGGCCACCGCGAGATGCGCAGCGCCGTCCGCCGCCGCCTCGTGCCCCTTGGCCGCGACGTCGTCGAGTCGTTCCTGCCCCTCGACGCCGAGACGCAGGCGCGCAACATTGCCGCCTGGACGCCCGTCGTCGCCGAAGTCTTTACGGGGCTGTGCAGCTTCGACGACGACGTCGACGGCGGCGGTGCTGCTGCCGGCGCCGGTGATGGCACTGCCGGCGCCGTCAGCTCTGCCAAGATGAGCAGCCGGCGGCAATCTTCCGAGGACGACGAGGATGATGAAGAAGACGACGATGATGAGGACGAAGACGACGACGACGACGACGAGGGAGGGCGGGTATTTACGCACCACGCCCACACCTTCTACCCGCTGGCCGTCGAGCTGCTGGGTAAGGACCCGCTGCCCTCGGAGATTGCCGAGTCGCTGCGCTCGTTCCTGTACAAGGTCGGGTTGGTGTACGGCCTGATTGGGTCTAAAGGCCGCGGCGGCGGTGGCGGTGGCGGTATCCGAGGCGGTGGTGGTGGTGGACGACTCACGCGGGTCGGGGCGGGCGCGGCTTCACCACCACCGCCAGCAGCGCTGTCGTAGACGAGCAGTGTCGTGTCGTGTCGTGTCGTTGCCGAGCGCTCTTAGCTGCTTCTGCCTGGCTTCCTCGCTCCCTCATGGACTCGGGGACTCGGGACTTGACTTGGCCTTGCTAGTTTGTGCTGTGCTGCCAAAATTCACAAAGACCAAGACGTCTGATGGATCCAAGAGCCCCCGCGCCGCTTGCCTACCTGATCGCCTGCCTGGGGCTCGATTCTGATACGGTAGGGCATCACGAGACGAGATGGAATGGAACGAGATGGTCGGTGGATGGACTTGGGAGGACGACCACGCCCATCTGGACGGGCGGGCCGTGCATCCAAGGCTATGTAAGGCGGGGTGGATCTGTCGGGGGGTGCAAGCGAGGGAGCGAAAGCCGGAACGGAAGGCATCGTCGATGGACCAGCAAAGGACGTGCGCGAGAGCGCGCTTGCAAGCCGCCCCAGCTGGGACCTTGACCTTGCAAGATGTGCCTCTGGCCCTGGGCTCTGGGCTCTGGGCTCTGGCTCTGAATCTGGCTGTGGGTGGATGTACCCCATCTTCCAGCGCTCTGCTCCTCACCCGTCCGCCCGTTCGCCCGATGGCCGTTGTTTCGACACCGATCCGATGTCGATTCGGAAGGAAAACAACAGAGCCGCGCCAGATGGGCAGAGGCGAGGGGCGCGGCGCGAGGCGAGGTCGAGTACTGTGGTACACGGTCCGACCGTCATCCAACCCGACCCGGTCCGATTCAAATCGACTCGATTCGAAGCCGGATCGAATCGAGGCCACCGTGCGTGCTGTCATCCATCCAGGCGGAACGAGGATCGACGAGGGCTAGGAGCTTTAGCTACGATACAGTGCGGTACGGTACGGTACGGGACGTCGATGTGCGTACCGCACGGTCCCCAGATCTCGGACGAGGATCGCGAATTGCGTCAGAAGCAAGCACGAGGGCCGCACCGTTACCCTCTCTGACGGACGGTGCGTCTCGAGAGCGAAGCCAGGCCAGGCTAAGCCAGGCCTTGAGCGCGCAGACACACGAAAGCAAGCCAAGGCCAGGCTCGGGGGCCTGCCGCGGTCTGTCGGCAAAATCTGGCCGAACTGGGCAGGTCTGCCCCTGCCCTGCCCCTGCCCCTGCCGTCCTGCCGCTTGCATGGAAGCTCGCCCTGCCTCGCCTTTCCATCGGAAGCCATGGGCCGAAAATGCAGCCCAGCCCAGCCCAGCCCAGGCCAGCCGCGGCGATCAAGGGTCCGGTCCCTCCCGTTCCTCGTCGTCGTCCTGCCTGCCTAGCCTAGCCTAGCCTGGGCCTGGCTTGGCCTGGCCTCGTGCCCATCGTTGCCGTCACCCTCGCTCGCTCGCTCGCTCTGGCTGCCTGCCTCCACCAGCCATCGATTCGAGCTGGCTCGCAAACGAGGTGTCTCCCGCCGGGATCTGCCCGACGTCCGTCTGCTCCTGGCCCCTCTGTCGTCGTCGTCGTCGTCGTCGTCGTCGCTGCTCCACCTCTCTTCTCCTTGGTCCCGTCACTCTGCGAAGTGAGGGCCAAGTGAAGTTGGCTCGATTGGCCCGACTCAACCACCCGGCTGAGTCGCGGCGATAACCAGGCAGCGCGTACGCTCATCGATTCGGCGACGCCGGAACCCTGCCGATCAAGCACCAAGCCGTCGTCGCTGCTGCCTCACCGGCCTTTTCTCTGGCTGCGGCGACTCAGCAAGCACGCAGGGCAGGGCAGGGCAGGGTATACACGCACTAGGAGCAGGGGTAGGGCAGGGCAGGGCAGGAACCAGGCAAAGGCCCGCCCGTCTAAAATCCGAGCGGGCTGCTGGCTCGCTCGATCCCTTGCCTTGCCTTGCCTTGCCTTGCCTCGTCCGATCCTCGTCACCTCTTCTCCGAGAGCTCCGGTTCCATCGAGCAGAGGTCACCGTCGATGCAGAGCATTGCCCTCGTCGTCGTCGGTGGATATCGGGCGGATCGGCCAACGTGGATCTCCCCTGTCTGCTCGGCCTGGGCCGAAGAGCGCGCTAGGTACGGTCAGCTCAGCGACGGGCCAACTGCGAGGCGAGGCAGGCGGGCAGGTAGGCCAACCGCCTTTCGGATCAAGCTTCCGATGCGGCGGCGTCTTGGACAGGCAGGCAGGCAGGCAGGCAGGCAGGCTGGGCAGTCGAAAACCGGCCAGCTGGGTCCAGAGGTGACTTCATTTTTCATGCAGGCCGTCGGAACGAAGGCATCAGGCAGCGCCGAGCAAACGGAAAAGAAGCCGCCTGCCAGGTGGAGGTCACGCAGGCACGCCCAACCACGAGCAGCCAAGCAGGCAGGCTGGCAGGCTCGACGTTGCCTCGGCCCTTTGCTCCGGAACACGCCCTGGCTGGCTGGCAGGCTGGCAGACCTCGCTCCTCGTCGCCCCTCTCCCCCTAGCCTCCCTCGTTCCGCGGTCGCTGACTCGAAGACATGCATGTACGTATGGCGAGGATCGGCAGCGGCGGCGGGACCCCTTCCCGGACTCAGCCGCCTGCCTGAGCAGTGACTGCTAACGCGCCGGAGGCAGAGGCGGGCGAGCCGCGACGTGCGGATCTCACGCTCGATCCTTCGTCATCCTGCCCTGCCCTGCCCAGCTCAGCCCGGCCCAGCTGGGACTAGGCCAGGCCAGATCGAGCTGGTGGACCGCCAGCATGCATGTGGATCGACGGTCATGGATGCCCACGGAAGCGCTTCGATGCCTCCGCTCCGAGGTGGGCCAACTCGGCTTCCCTCCATCGACTCCCTCGCCGGCGGCAAGAGCTAGAGAGGTACAAAGGGCCAGGCCCGAGGTTGGTTCGCGAAGTGGCGTCCCTCTTTCCCACCCCCGCTCCCCAACTCTGCCCACTTCCGCCTGCCCGTCTGCCCCACTCCCTGCCTCGTGCGGATCCCGCTCCAGCTCACTCCCGTCGCCGCTCCTCTCTGACGACCACGATCACGACGGCGCCCCCAGCACCCGCCAGCACCGGCTCTCTTCTCACGGGTCGATCCCCTTCGGCTTCCACCCGGACTCGTCCTGCACCGGCGCCCCGTCGACCCCGGAACGCCTCCGACGCCTGTCTTCCGCATCGGCGTCTCCCGGCTGAGCTCGCTTTGCCTGCCTGGGCATCCATCTCGAGCGAGACGACGGCGACGACGCCCAGGCAGCCCCGGCCTCCCGCGCCTCTTTCTCCATCGGCACGATTTATTCCCAGGCCAGCGACAATATCCGGGGATCACCACGATAGCGTCCTGCATCCAAACAAGCCGTCTTGACTGCATCCCGTTCCAGCTCAGCCCAGTTCAGCATCAGCGCAATGACCCGCACTTCGCCCTCAGCATCCTCGCGCAGAGTCGCACGCGCCGCGCTCACCGCGCTCTTTGCGCTCACGGTGGTCGCGATTACCGATGCAGCGGTGCTCTCTCCCGCTCCGATACAGCCCGAGCAGGGTCTGCGGCAGCGAGGCGTCGCAACCGGACCGGACCGACGGCCCTTGCAGCTGCTCCTGCCGAGGACCGCATCGGCAAACTCTCTTGGCGTTCCGCTGGCCAAGCGGCACGGCGACCACGAGGATGATGAGGAGCAGCAAGTCCACGGCGCCGAGCCGCAGCAGCAGCAGCACGGGCATGATCACGATGGCCTTCACGCAGATCAACACAGCGCGGCGGCCGAGTCCATGGAAAACGAGCAGCCGTCCAGCGGGCATGGCGACCGGCCCAGCACCGAGGAATCCACTAACGCCAAGGCCTCCGACTCACACGAGCACGGCCATGGCCATAGCCACGATCACGCCTCCGCATCACTGCCAGTAGGCTTTGTGGCCGACGCGGATAGTTCGGGCGATGTTCTCGTCCCCGTGCCGAGCCTGCACATTCACGGCGGACACAGCCACGGCGGCTCCGGCGCGCCCAAGGAGCACCTCAACGAGACGAGCCTCTTTCTCGCAAAGGGGCCCGACCCCCTCAGCTACATCGAGTGGGACTTTGGCTACGGCGCCGGCTCGTTTGGCGAGCTGCAGCGCTTCATGGCGAGCCAGGATGTCCTTGCTGGCACGCCCATGATGAAGCCCATCGACGGCCGGTGGCGCAAGCTCTTTGACGAGCGTGACCAGGAGCAGCGCAGGGAGATCGCTGCGGACATCGCTTCCCGCATCGAGGGAGGGCAGCCACCGGCGCGGCACGGCGGCATCCTCGCTCTCCACGTCGTCCTGGCTGTCCTGGGCTGCTTTTTTATGCTGCCGACGGCGCTGGCGCTCCGGGCCGCCCACTCCGGCCTCGCTCCTCTGGCATCGCTCGTCTATCTGGTCACGCTCGGATCCTCGCTCCTCGTATCGATGCTCTACAAGGCCCTCACGCCGCGCCTGTACCCGCACAACTCGCACGGCGGCCTGGGCTGGGCCATCTTCTGGATCTCGCTCGCCTGCCTCGGATCCGACGTCTTCAGGCTGGTGACCCAGATCTGGTCGAAGATGCGCTCCCTTGGAGGAGGATCTGGCAGCGCCAGCAGCCGCAGCAGCAGAGACGGTGGGCCTGGCGGTAACTTCCGGGCAGCGGGCGGTCGCTCCTGGAACGACGTGGTCAACACCGCGCTTGGCAGAGTTTTGCCGCACTCGAGCGAAAAGTACGACGCCCTCGAAGAGGAGTCGATGCTGGCCGAGGCTGCTCGCAGCGACGACGCGAGGGAGGTCGACATTGAAGCCGACCTTGCCGCCCGACTGCGCGGACACAGTCGCGGCCATGGTAGCAGCGGCAGCGGATCGCCACACCGCGTTCACTTTGACGACGGCGACTACGAGGAGGCCGACTGGGTGGGCAGCGGCAGCACGGCCGTTGGCGGCACCAGCGCGCGCCCTTCTGGCTCAAGGCCCAGCAGCCCTTCCAACGGCGCCAACGCTGCCCTGTTCGACGAGCCCATGACGGCCTCGCCGACCACGACTGTCTGCAACACGCCGAGGAACTCGGTCTTTGGCGACAGCCATCTGCCCGGACTCGGCCTCAAGGCCGTCTCGAGCTGGATGGCAAAAGCCGAGGGTGCCTCACCCCTGTCCGCGTCGGCTGCACGCCTGCCCGGGTCCGACAAGCTCGGCATCGCCAAGCCGCGACGGAGCCGCCTGCAGCTGCTGCGGAACGTGCTCCGCTACGCTCGCGTGACGGTGACCCGATCCCTGCCCGTGCTCGCCTTCGCCGAGACCTACACGGGCATCGCCGTCTACACCGGCTCCTGCCGCAGCGGCTACCAGAACGTCTGCCTGGCGCACGGCATCAAGGGCGGCATCTTTTTCTGGTACGGCCTCTTCACGTTTGCGCGCTACCTCGGCGCCTACGCCGACTGCGGCTGGGCGTGGAACAAGGCGCCGACCTCGTCGAGGCCGTCGTCTCCCCAGGGCAGCAGCACGGGTCGTCGGGTCGGACGCGGCATGCCAAGCGCCGAGTTTGTCGAGTGCCTGGTCATCACCATCTACGGCTGCACCCAGATCTGGAACGAGCGGCAGGGCGCCAAGCCGGGCGACCCCTGGACGATCAAGCAGATCCAGCACACGTCGATTGCCGGCATGTTCTGGTTCGTCGGTCTGCTCGGCCTGCTGCTCGAGACCGGCTGGGTCCGAAGGCTCCTCTCGCTACCGATCGCCTACAGCCACACGGCCGCGATCCCGCTGTCGGAGGTGCGGCGACGTGGCAAGGGCGGCGTCCGGGCACGCGGCGAAGGGGCCGGCGACGACCTCGACTCGCTCGTCGACGCGCAGAGGCAGCCGGCGTCGTACAGCTTCTCGTTTAACCCGTTCCCTGCGCTCGTCATTGGCGTGACGGGCCTGGCCATGTCGGCGCACCACCAGGACTACGTCTACGAGGTCGAGATCCACCAGCTCTGGGGCAACCTGCTGGCGCTGTTTTCGGTGCTGCGGTGCCTGACCTACTTTTTGCTCTGGCTCCGCCCGCCGACGGCGTCGATCCTGCCGTCGCGCCCGCCCACCGAGGCGCTGGGCGCGTTTTCCCTCTGCTGCGGCGGCCTCGTCTTTATGCTGAGCAGCGAGGAGGTGTCGTTTGCGGCGATGCGCAGCGGCTACGGCGATTTCATGGCCATCCTCAACGTCGTCGTCGCCGTCGTCTCGCTCCTCTTTTGCTGGACGACGGCGCTGATGATGATCAAGGGCTGGGCGGTGCGGCGCGAGGTGCGCCGCGGCCTTGGTGAAGGACAGCGAATGCACGGCGACATGCGCGGCGACGATGCAGAGGCTGGAGGGGTGGGCCTCAGGCTCGACACGCATGTCGCCGCCGCTGCTGGGCCGCGTTCGACACCCAAGAGGTACCGTGCGACGGTCCCGGCTTCTCCGATGGCCTCCGCCGCCGCCGTCGAAGCTGGCGTGACGGCCGACGGAACGACCGAGACCGTCTTTGTGCTCGACGACGACGACGACGACGATGACGACGGCGGCGAGGGCGACGACCGCCACCGAAGGCTGGGCGAGGCTGCCCGCACCGCCCGCTGAGGCAGCGGCGCACGACGACGGCGGCACGACGGACGCGGCATGGACTCGCATCCGGATCCCTTCTGTCCCTTTCCTCTTTCTCACTTCGATACCCGCGTTGTTCGTGCTGCACCGCGCTTGGCCTCTGCTTGATCCGACTGGGATCAGCTCACGGCCAGCGAAGCCCGGTGCGCTGCTGCACCATGCCCTGCGCGGCAACCAGACCGCCTCTCTCTGCTATTCCCCGCGATACCTTCGCCTTAATGTATCTTTTCAGCCTCTTATCTAATGGAATGACACGCCCTGATGACCTGTCGAGATCCGACCGATATGGACGAGATGATGGAGCGTGTGAGGGATCCCTGGCGCCGGCTGTCCTCCCAGAGCCCGCCATCTGCGCCGACAACAACGGGGACGGTGTCGTACCCATCCGTCCTGGTTCTGGGCCTGCTCTGGCACGTTGCTAGCCACACTGATGTCGGCCTCCGTGTGGCACTGAACCGGTTCTGCTCGTCGTCTGATGGCGAGGGCAAGGGCGAGGGCGAGGGCGAGGGCAAGGGCAAGCGAGGCTCTGGACGAGGTGGAAGGAGAGGAAGCGAATCGGGACTGCGGATCGTCCGCAACTCGGCCTGGCCGATCGGGTGCGGCTGAGCCGTGGGCTGAACGTGAAAGGCAGCCAGGGTCCATCCCGCCTTTTTGGCTGCAGGCACAAAGGCCGACGCCGACCCACGGCCCTGCCTGGCTTGGCTGCCCCTGCGTCTGTCTCTGCCGCCAGTCCCGCCGCTGCTGCTGCTGACTTGAGACCTCACCACCTGCCCCTGCCGTCCGGGTCTACCTCTGCCTTCCTCCTTCTCCCTTCTACCAACACCACCACCCGTCGCCCGACGCTTTCCGCCTCACCATCATTTCCCCCCTCCTCTGCGCTAGACGTCGACCCGGTGCTCCTTCTCCTACCACTGCCCGCCGACGCCGCCAACGGCTGCCTCAAGACGACGGCGCACTTACGCCCGACGGCGTGTGCCGCCCACCGGCTTGATCCCCATCGGGCCGCAGACCGCAACAGCCTGTCGTCGGACCCAGCCGTCCTGCCGTATCGTCGGCTCTTGGTGCGACCCTCGTCTCGACTACTCTGGTCTCTCCTCCGTACCGCGGAAATGAACGGCCGCTAGACTCAGGCTGCTCCAACAAAGAGGCCACCGATCGTACAAAACTCCATACCTCTCGCTTCTTCGGCTGCTGCGACGATCCCTCTGGTCCGGGTGATCATTCTCGGTCTCGCCATCGCCATCGCCGGCTGTTGGCTGCCGCTTACACCCCCACGTAAAGTGGGCAAGCCCAACCCCCCGCCTTCAACCCAGCCATGAGCGAGAGGCATGCCAGCTCCTCAAAACAGGCCGGCTCCTCGGCCGACGCCCTCTCGCCTGCTTCTTCTACCTCGACTTTGCGAGCCGCTCCCACGACAGGCAGCGAACAGGCCAGGCAGAGGTCCCGCGGCCAGATGGCACGCAAGCAGAGCCTCGCCGACGGCATCGCGCTCGGATCGGGCCTTCGCTCGGCCAACTTTCCGCCCTCTTCGCCACCACCAGCCTACCACCCGCACCCCTATCAGACCGCCGCGGATCTGCGCCAGTCTTCCCACCTGCGCCAGCGGCCATCAGTGTCTCGATCTCGCCCAGCTAGCGGGGCTGCATCCGAAGAGCACGCAGACCTCGTCACGCCCCGCGGCGGCGCCAACAGCAAGGGCAGCAGGGACGTCCGCCGGAAACGCAAGCGCAAGGCCCACGCTCCGCAGCCACCCCTCCTTGGAGGCCTCTACTTTTCCGACCTCATCGTTGTTGCCTTCTTCTATGCCCTCAACCTCCTGCGCACCTGTGGGCTCGCAGAGCTCATGGATGTCGCCTTCAAGGGCACCGCCTATGCTGGTGAGTTTAGCGCCGCGTCGCCTCTCTCCTGCGAGCGCACAGTTCGCGTGGCCGACGCTCGGCGCTGACAAGATCGCGCTCATGCTCTGCCTTCCACCGTCGCTTCGCATCCGGCAGTGACGCGCTTGCCTTTTGAGTTTTGGCAGAGGTGGTCCCTCAGCCGCTATCCACCCGCCTCGACCGCGCACGCCCAGCGTCCATCGTCCCACGGGCCGGACGGATCGCGCTACCTGCAGGCCATCCGCCACAGCTCGCGTCGACAGTCGCAGAGGCAGGCGCGGCGCCACAGCGATGGGTCCGGCCACGAGCTCACGCAGTCCTCGACCTCTGCCGCTACCACCTCGGACGAGGACGAGGCCGACGACGCGCATCAGCTCTCGCCCTTCCACCACCTCGTCATCCTCCTCGTCCGCTTCGCCTGCATCAGCTTCCCGCACCTGCTGCCCCGCGTCCTCTTTGCCGAGGAGACCATCGGGCCGCTCGTACGCTGGAGGACCGGAGGTGGGGCTGCCGGCATCGTGCGCGAGTTCACAAACGAGCCCGCCGACCGCCTCGCCCCGACTTCCGACTCTGCGGCTCTCACCGACGGGCAACAAGCCTACGGCGGTGATCGCGAGTGTGGCAAGGCAGCACCCCCTCCGTCACCCGCACCGGGCTTCCGGGCCTTCTGGATCGGGCCCGATGCCCACATCCCCGTCGACGTGAGGCGGCGCGACCCAGAATCCCGCCATGCCACCACGGTCCTGTATCTGCACGGCGGCGGCTTCTCGCTGGGCTCGGTGGCCTTTTACGCAGAGGCTCTGATCCGCATCATGGCCAAGGTGGCCCTCTACGAGCGAGACGCTGGTGAAGGGGGCTCGAGGTGCGTCGCCGTCGAGTACGACCTCAGCCCCTCTGTCCGCTTCCCTGCGCCTCTGCTGCAGTGCCTGCGTTGCTATGCACACCTCGTCGAGGTCGAAGGGATCGACCCGGCGAGCATCACCGTCGCTGGAGACAGTGCCGGCGCCAACCTGGCGATGAGCATGCTGCTCTGCCTCGACGGCCAGGCGCGCGACGAGCCGCTTATGTCGGAGCGCGACTGGTCCAAGCTGCCGATGCCCGGAAAGGCCGTCTTCATCTCTCCCTGGGCCGACCTTCGGCCCTCTGGATCGCATGCGTTCGCCCACCTCCGCGAACAGCATCTCCGATCAAGACCGCGAACGGCCGCCAGCAGCAGCAACAAGGGCAGCTCCACAAAGGAAAGCGCGTCTGCGACGGCGAAGGCAGCTCCGAAGCCATCGGTGTGGACCGAGGCAATGGCCGAGTACGAGTGGGACTACGTTGCCGCCGAGGCCCTCCTCCACTTTGCCCAGGTCTACGCGGGCGTCTTGGACAAGCCACGCCGAGTGCGCGGCCCAACGGGCTGGGTGGCCAACTTCTGTGCCATCCTCGCCGGCGATCCGGAGCCACCGCAGGGGGTCGAGGCGGACAAGCCGGGAGCACGACCGTACGCCTACAACCCGCTCTCCGTGCTGTCGCGCCTTGTCACGCCGCCGACGACGCGGCTGGCCAAAGCTGCGCATACGGCGCTGACCGAGCCACTGCTCGACCTCGGAACGCAGCGATTCAGGGCGCCCGGCAGGCCCCGTGCCGATCCCTTCCAGAACGACAGGCAGTCTCAGCGTAGCGGCCTTGAACCGCTCTTTCCGTCCCGCGAGCGCGAGACCGACGCAGTGGCCTCGACGGCCGACCTTTTCGTGCCTACTTGGGGCTTCTCCGACAGCGACAACGAGGACAATGAGGCGGAACGCGATCCGCGTCGAAGCAGTCCGACGTTTGCAGAGGCCGTCGACCGACTCGAGAACCACATCTTGATCAGCCCGGCCCTCGGCGACTGGAGCCGCATCCGCCTCGAGAGGGGCATGCTGGTGACCTGGGGAGAGCGCGAGAGGCTCGCCGATGACATCGAGGCCTGGGCAAGCAAGGTCCGTCAACAACAGGGCCGGGCGAGTCCGGCGTTCGGCGAGCCTACAAGTGAGGATTCTCGTTCTCCCTCTTTGTCGACCAGCAGAACGGCAGGCACCGCCCAGCATGGCTCGCCAACGCAGGGCGGCGATCACGCGGAGCACGTCGGTTCCTTGCAGCACAGGAGGGCCGTGTCATCGTCCAAGGACAGGACAACGATGCCGCGGCAAGATGGCCCGGCACCGACCGAGGCGTCGTACCTGTGCACGGCAGTCGAACACGGTCCCTCTGGCGTTCACGCCTGGCCGTTCGTCTCGATGTACCTCGCCGGCACCGAGGCGGAGCGGGAGAAGGGGTTGGATCTACTGGCCAGCTTCATCGCCAGGCCGCCTTGGCAGACCTCGCAGCCGGACAAGCCGCGGCCCGACGCCATGATCGACGATGCTGCCATCAAGCAGGCCCCGCTGACCATGAGCCTGCCGGCCAGGAAGACGTCGTCCGAGTTCCTTATCCCGCAGTCGCCGCCGCATCACGATGGCCTGTCGCCGGTGGGCTCGCTGCCCTCGGACGTCTACGATGACGACGAGAGGCACTACATGTTCAACTCGCGCTCGCGGGAGGAGTCGCTCGACTGGGATAGCGTCGAGCTCCGGAACGAGCTGGGCCTGCGCGGGGTAGCAGTGTCGTCCTCGTCTTCTTCGCCCGAGGGACGCTTCCCGCCCGAGCCGATGTGGAACGAGCCTACCCCGACGACTACCGGCGGCAGCTCCCCGGTCGTCGATCGAGACCGAGGCTCTGCAGGCGGAGCTGAATCGCCTCGTGTGGGGCTTGGCCTTGCTGCATCCAGGCTGGCAGACTCGCAAGCGGCGGCCGATATTCTCAGCGGCCAAGCAGCGCAGCCTGCTTCCTCCGGGCCCCACACAGCGGAAGCCTCCGATGAAGAGGGATGGGAGAGCGATGGTCCTGCATTTGCTGCCGGCACCAAGGCCTCAGTCACCAACGTCTCGGCGCCGGCGAAACGGGCCGCTGGCAAGACGCTCTCGCGAAAGCGCAGCAACAGCCTGGGCAAGCGCACCAAGACGGCGACGTCGTCGGCGTCGTCCTCCGTCATGAGCACGCCCAAGGCGACCTCGACCGCCTCGTTCGCAAGCAAGGCGCCCGAGGCGCCTGCTAGCCTCAAGCTCGACCCGGTCCACCTCTCGGCTCCCACCTTCCCCGCCGCATCCTACGCTGCTCCGCCGAGCGTTGCGTCGAGCTCGGCCTTTATCTCGTCGCCACCTTCTCGACCTGATATGTCCAAAATGTGGGGCGGGATCGAAGTTCGAAACGTCCAGGCTCGACGAGACGTGCTGCAGTCGACGCAGATCTCTGGCCGCTCCGTCATGCCCCAGATTGGCGAGCCGCGGCGCAGCGGCATGACGCTGGCCGAGATCGAGGCGCTGGAAGAGGCCGAAGAAGCCGCGGCATCGGCGAATGCCGGCGGAGCTGCAGGGGCTGGTCCATCGCCGCTAGCAAGCGACCCGTCCAACAGAGGCCGCCCGGCCGGCAGGAGCAGCAGCCGGGATCGCCTCTCGCGCATCCTCGGCAGCGCCTACGAGTCGGACCCGGACCTGCCGCTCAACGACGCCGGTGGCGCCCACGACTCGGACTCGGACTCGGAGTCTGACTTTGCGTCGCCGCGCATCGGCGCGGTGGCATCGCCGCGCTACGTCGACGACGGTACGCTCTCGTCGTCGGCGCAGCACCCGCTGTCGATGGACCCGTCGTTCTACGGCCTCTCGTCGTACTCGACGTCGCGGCCCGAGGGGCTGAGCGACATCGCCGAGGAGGACTCGCAGTTTGACGCGTCGTCCGAGTTTGGCGTGCGCAGCCCGAGTGGCGGCGGCGGCGGCGGCGAGAGCGAGAGCGAGGACGAGTCGGCGCCGAGGTGGGACGAGCGGGGCTTTGCGTTTACCCCTAGCGGGCGCGAGGCGGAGCGGCTGCGAGAGGCGCTCGATGAGCGCGAGAGGCTGTGGCGCCGTCGTCGCGCCGAGAGCGACGAAGAGGACGAGGTTGAACCCGCGCGGCCCGGTGGCTGTCGACGCAGTCGATGCAGAATCAAACGACGAGCACGACGACGACGACGACGAGCACGACGACGACGACGACGAGCACGACGACGACGACGACGAGCACGACGACGACGACGACGAGCACGACGACGACGACGACTCGGACGTGGGCGGCTACCAGGAGGACAGCGACGACTTTTCGCCCCGCGATCCGGCACGACCTCGGCAGCCAGCGGCATCAAAGGGCCAAGACGACGTCGGCACCCGCTCCCCCTCGGCTGCCGCCGCTGCCGCCACTGCACCGGCCTCGACCTCGACGTCTTCCGCCGCCTACCTCTACGCGCTCGGCGTCGGCGCGGGAAGGAAATCGCCTACGCCCAGCATCAGCTCGTTTAGCAGCCAGAAGAGCAAGGAGGATGTATGGTGGTAAACGGCCCAGTCCAGTCACGCCACCACCGTCCGTCCGTGCGTGCGTGCGTGCGTCAACGTGGTCTCCCTTCCTCACTCCTCCCTCACCCCTTCCCCTCCATCCCCTCCATCCCATCCCATCCCATCCCATTCCATGTTCTCTATACCCACCCCTCACCGCGCTCGTGCACACATCTACCTACGACTTTCGTTTCCATTCCAGACCCTCCTCCGCCCATCAGGAAGCGCACAGACCCTCTTTCCAGCACCATCGCTCGCCCGCCCGCCCTCGGGCAACTCTCCACCAGCCACACAGTCTCGGGTTCGTGAGAATGGAGGGGGGAAGGGGCCAGAGCCACGCGGCTACTTTCTGGCGGCCCTTTGGAGATTTCTTCGAGCGAGGGTGGAAAGAGGGGAGGGGGGGTGGGGTTGGCAGGGACAAAGTAGACGGAGCGTGGGGTAGGAGGGGGGAGGCGGTCGGACGCGTCGAAACGAGGGGGGAGCGAGCGAATTTGGGAAGCGCAGGATCTGGAAAGCAGGATGGGCATACGGCACACTGACGCGCGCTGCGTCGGGACTCGAACGGTGCTGATCGACGGTGCCGAACAGGCCTGCCTGGCGCGCATGGACGGTGCCGAACAGGTCTGCCTGGCGGGGCTTGCTGGCCTAGTCCAGTCTGGTCTGGCCTGACCGAAAGGCGGAAGGATGAGGCACCATCGACGACGACGACGGCGGCGGCGGCGGCAGGGAGACGGGCCGACATGTGACCCCGCGCCTGCCTCCGGCGTCGACGCATCGCTCGGGCCAATCGAACCGCTCGCTGACTAGGTCACGACGTCGGGCCAGGGTCTAGGCGACCGGGGCAGCCGCGGCAGCCGACGCGGCGGCGGCGGCGGAAGCCGCGGCGTCCTCGAGCACCTTTTCGGCCTTGATTCCCTCAAAGCCGATGGCGCCAACCTTTTCCTTGATGCCGAGCAGCGAGTCGGTCCAGAGGGGCGCGCTGGCCTCTTCGACCTCGCTCTTGACAAACAGGTCGGCAAGGGCGTCGGTGCCCGGCTGGGCGGCGCGCAGGTCGTCGACGGTGCGCAGGCCCAGCGTCTTCCACACGTCCTGGAGCGCCGCGACGAGGTGGTCGACGTCGGCCGACGAGTGGCCGGGCGTCGGCGTGATGCGCAGCCGCTCGAGGCCGCGCGCCACCGTGGGGAAGTTGATGGGCTGCACGTAGCACCCGTGCACCTCGAGCAGCATGTCCGAGGCAGCCTTGGCCTTTTCGGCGTCGCCGACGAGCACGGGCACAATGTGCGACGGGTTGTGCTGCAGCGGGATGCCCGCCGCCAGCAGCTTGTGCTTGGTCTCGCGCGTGCGGATCTGCTGCAGCTGGCGCGACGCGTTGCTCTCCATGAGCACCCGGATGGCCGTGTCGGCGCCCGTCAGCACGGCCGGCGGCAGCGTGGTGCTGAAGATGAACTGGGGCGCAAACGAACGGATCATGTCGACGAAGCGGTTGGAGCCGGCAATGTAGCCGCCGACGTTGCCGTAGGCCTTGCCCAGCGTGCCCGTGATGATGTCGATGCGGTCCATGAGGGTGCCCTCGAGCAGGCCGGGCGCCATGCCCTTGGCCGACTGGGCGGCCCAGTCGAGGTGCTCGGCGACGCCGGCGCCGCGCGGGCCGTACATGCCGACGGCGTGCACCTCGTCGAGGAAGGTGATGGCGCCGTACTTTTCGGCCAGCTCGATGGTCTCTTCAATCGGGCCGACGGTGCCGCACATCGAGTAGACGCTCTCAAAGGCGATGATCTTGGGCGTGTCGACGGGGATCGACTGCAGCTTGGCCTCGAGGTCGGCCATGTCGTTGTGGCGGTAGATCATCTTGCGGGCGCCGCTGTGCTTGATGCCCTGGATCATCGAGGCGTGGTTGCTGGCGTCGCTGAGGATGACGCAGTCGGGCAGCTTGGAGCCGAGGATGGTAAGGGTGGCGTCGTTGGCGGCGTAGCACGAGCCAAACACGAGCGCGCCCTCCTTGCGGTGCAGGTGAGCTAGCGTGCTCTCGATGCGCTCGACGTGCTGGTTGTGGCCGGCAATGTTGCGCGTGCCGCCGGCGCCGGCGCCGTACTTGTCCAGCGTCTCCTTCATGGCGCTCAGCACCGTCGGGTGGCGGCTCATGTTCTGGTAGTCGTTGGCGCACCAGACGGTGATCTCGTCGCCCTCGTCGGAGAGGTGGCCGCGCGAGGCCTTGCCGGCGAGGCGGTTGATGTTGTTAAAGTAGCGGTACGACTTGTCCTTGTGCTTGGCCGTCAGCTCGTTGTGGTAGAAGGCCTCGTAGTCGAAGCCGGGAGTCTGCTTGGGCTGCGGCTCCGGGTGCATGCCGAGGCCCGAGCCGGGGGTGCGGGCCTGCTTCTTGATGCTCTGCCTGCGGTGGTTGGGTATGGCGGCGGCGTCCGAGGCGGCGACGGCGGCGAGCTTGCGGGCGTGCGGGCACTTTTCGACGTCGCTCTCGCCCTGGATGCGGACGCCCTCCTTGGCGTGCAGGCGCTCGATCTCGTCGGGGCGCGCAAACGAGGCGTACTTGGGCGCGTTGGGGCGGGCGACGTAGCCGCGCCTCTGACCGGCCGAGCCGGGGGCGAGCATGTCGTGCTTAAAGGGGCAGCCGCCGCCGACGCCGCCGGCCGAGGGACGGGCAAAGGTGCTGCCGGAAGCGCCAAAGGTGGGCATCGAGGTGTTGGAGGTGCCGGCGCCGAGCTGCTCGGTCTTGACGGCGAGGCTCTGGCTCATGACGGGGCAGTCGAGGGCGCGGTTGACGAGGCTGGTGGGTCCGCCCGGGTGGACCAGGGTGGTCGACATCTGACGCAGCTGAGGCATCGAGATGCGGCCGAGGTAGGGGCAGGCCTGTCGGAACTGGCGCAGCGAAGAGAGCGAGCGGTCCATGGTGGCAATAGTAGCTGGCTGCAGCACGGAGGCGAACGAGGTGGGTGTAGGTTGGATCGGTCGGCGAGCCAGCAGTCAGGAAGCGGGCTCAGTAGAGGATAGGACGGAGGGTGTCCGCAAGTCGGTCGGTAAGGATGGGAGGGTAGGAGAGGCGATGAGTCGAGATGTGGTGGTGATGGTGAAGGGAAGCGTCGGGGATGGGTCGAGGCGGCGAAGGCGAGCGAGCAAGAAGATGTTTCGCCGCGCGAAGCCAGCGGCCGCGGCGGCGGGTCTTCAGGTTGCCCGAAGGCGCTGCCCAGAGGGTTGGGTAAGGCCGGCCTGCTGATTGGGCCGCTCGCCGCTCCCTCGAACCCTAACCCTACCGTAACAGCCTCCGGCCCCTCGGGGCCAGGCCCGGCACCAGGCCAGGCCCTCCGGTCCGCACCCAGACAGGCTTCGGCCCCACGGCGTCAGCCGACCATGATCTCTCTCTTCGGCGGCCGCGTGTCGCATAGCGCACCCCAAACCTGGCCTGGCCTGGCCTAGCCTTCTTGTTGCCTCTCGCTCCAGGGCCGAAGGGCAGACAGGCAGGCAGGCAGGCTTAAGCCCGTGGTTGCGTGGCGAGCCGCCCCTCGTCGCTGCCTCGTTCTCATTCACGCCCTGCTCGCCGCACCGCCTCGACAGGCCCCGCCTGTTGCCCATCGCACCATCGCGACATCGGTCCGAGGAGCCGACGCCCGGCGCACCGGAGCGTCGCCTTCGGCCAACCAAGCTAAGCAGCAGCAACCGCCAGCTCGACGGGCGTCGGTTTTGTAATCGGGATGGGCCGCAATACAACAACAACAAAAAGGAAAACCCAAGCGGCAGGCCAAAAGAGCGCTCTTCGCTCTGCCACAGCAGGCCCGCGTCTGACTCGAGTCGCCGGCTTCAAACTTTCAGCCGGGCGCAGAGGGCCGACAGGAGGCGCGGGACTCGGGCGAGTGGTGGGCTCCACGGGATGGCGGCTCGGCAGAACAGATGGATGCCCGTCGGGCTCTGTCACGCGCACGCACGCCTGGCTGACAAATCCACTCTACCGATCGACTGCGGCCACGTCTCGGAGCCGCCCCGATCAGGCCTGTCTCCGCCCGCTCCCTTGCCTCACGGTTCCGGGACAGCCCTTGCGCTCCCCCTCAGCAGCTATCCCCACCTTCGTTGCTCGGCATGGGATGGCCTTGTCCCTCGTCGTGGCACGCTACAGGCAGGTTGGCACGGCGATGCTGATCCCCGTCCCAAATCAACTCGATATCGCAGAGCTCGGTTCCCTGGCGAGCGCGAGGGCTGAAGAGGCAAGAGGGCCTTCTCACGCCATGACGCGCCAGTATGAGCTGCCTGGCCTGGCAGGCCTGCATGGCTCAGTCTGCGACACGCGCCCGGGAGAAGCCTTGGACGAAGGGTGAGGGGGGAAAAGCTTGGGCTCACTGGCTCGTCGTCGATCCTCTGCTCGACACCCGATCCTGAACCCAACCCCGGACGGTGCAGGGGCCAACACTCGTTCTAGCTGACCGACACGCTTCGGCTCGGACCGCATCCGCGCGAGGAAATCGGTCTTGGAACAGAAGGAGGCACACACGACGGATCACGCTGTCCAGAGGCCTGCCTGCCCCTTGACCTTGGAAGGAGATCGCATTGCTATTCTGCTGTTCCTGTCACTTCCCAAGATCCGCCCGGCGACCCGACCCCTTCTTACTCGGAGGCCTCCCTCGGCTTCGAGATGACCTGGATGCCGCCTGGATCGCGTCCATGACATCAAGGCAATAATTGACCAGGGAGCTCGAGGGTCAGCATCCGCTCAGCAGTCCACCTGCAGCATTCTTCGTCAAGCACTCACGGTGCAGGGCGAGGAGGTTGTCCCGCGCGGGGCTCTGGCCATCCGGCGACGGGGTCCTCTCGATCCGGAACTCGGCATCGACCAGAACGCGGTAGCTGGCGTTGCAGACGAAACCACGGAGACAAAGGCGAGGGCGAGGTCCAAGGCAGCGCGATGAGATATCCGTCAGCTGGCCCAGTCCTCGGAAGTGTTCGACGCAGTGTGGCAGTCGCGACACTTACCCCTTCTTGATCGACTTCATGCGCTCGACGCCGCGGTCGCCAAAGACGTAGAAGCGGTGGTAGCTCGTCGTCTGCTGAGCCGGCTCTGTCAGTCGAAAACAGAGCAGAACGGGCGCAAAGGAACAGATCAGCTGCCTTGGCCCTTGTATCTTCTTGGACGCGCCAAACGGACGCGGCCGAGGCGCGGCCACTCACCGCCGTTCTCCGCGGGCGGGCCAGCCGGCGGGTCGGTGGTGGCGACAGTGTATCGGACATAGTCCTTTCCGTTCTTCGTGCTGCGGACCTCGGGGTCGGCGGCGAGGCGGCCGAGGACCTGCATCCGCGCCAGGTCGTTTCGGACGGCCGAGGTGGACAGCGCCTGCGGGGCGGTGACGCGTCAAGAAGCGCGAGGGGGAAAGAGGCCACACTCGTTCAGCACCCTGGTTCAGCCGCAAATACAGTGGAAGAAAGCAGGTTTGCGACACTCACGCGGCTGTTGACGGCAGCGCGGACGCCGCCAAAGACGGAGGAGCGCAGAGAGGTGGATCCGATCATGGTGGGTGGTCGAGGCGGATGCGAGCAAGGAGGAGTTGGCGACCGTCGAGGCGTGGATCGGATGGCAAAAAGAGGGTGAAGCGGGGCTGCAAATGGACGAGAGACGATGGTGGTGGTGGTGGTGGTGCTGGTAGTGCCGGGGACGACGAGGTCGAGGACAGCCGTATGGCAGGTGGGCAGCGGGGGCAGGCAGACCAGGGTGCGCGCATGGGCCGCTCCCCTTTGTCCCCTGCTCGCGAGTGTTTTTTGAGCTGCCCTGCTGCTCTGCAGGCCTGCCAGGCGAGGCGCGCGCCCCCTTGCTCACGTCTCTGTCTGCCTGCGAGGTAGTCTGGCAGAGGTGGCAGGCCGGCCCGCTTCGTCTGCCTCGCGCGTCGCGCCGCACAAAGAGCAAGCGCAGGGGTGGATATGGATCGGATCCGACGGATGCGGCGCAAGGTTGCAGGCTCAGGGTCGAGGGGGCCGTGGCATGACCCTGGCCTGGCCTGTGTGGCGCCTTGAAGTGGAGGAAGCGGAGCGTGCTTGCAGCGCAGCGAGATGTTGGATCCCGAGCGGTGCAGGGGCGGGGAGCTGGGTCGGGTCGGTCTAGTCCGGCCTCGACATCCCCCTCGCCTCTTGCCACCTCTCCATCACCAGCCACGCTCTCACCGCCTTCGCTGCCACGACCTCGCCCACTCACGAGATTCATCCATCCGTCGCCATCCTCGCCTCGTCGCTCCTCCTTGTCCGCCTCGGTCGCCAGCCTTCCCTCGTCCGCACCCTTGCCTCGTCCCGCCCTCGACCCCTCTCGACTGCCCCTTTGCCGTCTGTCAACATGTCCGAGCACAAGCCCTTTATGGTGTGAGTTGGGCGTGGCAGTCTGTTCGATCTAGCGAGCCCTGGCTGAACTTGCCGTCTTCGTTTGACTGTGGTGGATCCGGCTGTCCCCCGTTAGCGTCTTCAAGGAGGGCGCGCCGCAGAGCGCCATCGACGAGCAAAAGCAGCGGATCGAGAGTCAGGGAGGCAAGATCAAGCAGACTTTCGACTCGCCCATCATCCGCGGCTTCTCGGCCACCATCCCCGACGCCATTGCCAGCGAGCTGACGACGCAGAGCACCGGAGGCGGCCACGAGCACATGTGAGTGCCCGGGGCAGCACGTCGTCGACCCACCGCACCGGTCGAGATCGGCGCAACAGCACGCTGATCCTCGCCACCTTGCCTGCGTGATCCCGTCTGCTACCCCTTCTGCCCTCGCAGCGAGTACCTCGAGCCCGACAGCGAGGTGCGCACCATGTAGGGCCGGCCAACGACCCGTGCCAGAGTTTCTTGCTTGCCAGCGCCTTGCCAGCGCCACCCGCGTCCGTTTCCCTCGATGCAGAATAGACGCACGCGCACCTGAATCTGCCATCGCCACCTCAGCGATAGAGATGGCGTTGGTCTAGAGCCAACAGAAGTGGGCCGAATGTCTTGTTTGGCTGCGTGGAGCGCACGATTGGACTGCAGAGATGGATTGCGAGGCAGGTCGGCGGGCGACGACCACCACGGCTCAGCCGAGTCGAGCTGGCTGTCCGCCAGGCATGTGTTGATGTCAGGCGGGTCCGATGGCTGGCCAGGGAGTCGAGAGGCAAGCAGCAGCGCCCAAGTCGTAGTGCCAGGTAGGGCGCCGCCGGTTGAGACGGGGAACCCCCTCCACAACCAGGGCGGCGCTCTTTGGCGGCGGCGGCAGGTGGCACCGTCGTGAATCAGCTGGAAACCTTCTGGCCAGCCTCTCCTCTCCTCCTAGCTTGCTTCCCACCTCGTCTCCCTCTGCGCCCTCGTCGACCCTTCGCATCAATCGGATCCACTCAACTTGGCCCTTTCGCTCCTCCGCCTCGACGCTTCGCCTCGACGCTGCGCCAGCCGGCCGCCAAGCCGGGGCCACACACACACACCATGACGCTTGACGGCCCTCATGCCGACCGTCCTTCGGTCCCGTCCCGACGGCTCCCTCTGGTCGTCGTCGAGTCTCGGATGGCCCCGCACGCCCTTCCGCTCCTCCAGCTTGGCGACTTGGCTCCATCCCTACTGCTCCCGCCCTGACCTCTACCCCCTTCCAGCCTGGACAGACCGCTGTCACCGCCGCATCGTAGCCACTCTGCTGCCCATCCCAAGTCGACACCCCGACGCACAGCACAACGTACAGCGCCGCGCCGCTCGGCCAAGGTCAGTCGACGAGTGCACGACATGCATCATCCAGCACCCTCTTTCGACGCCGTCCGGCCGCGCCGCGATGACTCGACCTCGGGCAACAACGACGACGAAAACCACGATGGCCTCGATGGTCACGCCAGCGGCTCTCGGCCCCTCTCGGCGTCGAGCAGCCATCCTGTCCTCGCCTTTGACCCCACCGACTTTGACACCCGCATCAAGCTTCCCTCGTCCTCGGCGGCAGCTCCCGGCCACGAGGCCTACGCCTTCAGCCCACCAGAGCCGCCGACCCAACGACAGCCGGGTCCGCAGCCTGAGCAAAGCGATGACGAGGAAACGCGGTCGCCGCAAGCCTCGCGACGGACCGACGAGGACGAGCAGCTGGGACAGCTCATCGCCCTCGACTTTGCAGAGCAGAGCGCCCCCCAGCACCAACCTCCCCCGCCACCGAGCCTGGACACTGAGCAGTTCCCCACCGAGCAGGACAGCGCCCCCCTCCAGACCCTGCCCGAGGGAAGACGGGTCAGCGGCTTTGAAGCACCGCCAGACGCCGGGGACAGCACCTCGGCGCCCCGAAAGCAGCAGCAGCAGCAGCAGCAGCAGCCGCAGGAGCAGCCGGAGCAGCCGGAGCAGCCGCGTTACCCGCAGAGGGCGACATACTTCGATACCGCCCAGCGCAGCCGATCGATTGCTGCTCTCGACCAGACATCGCCCCGGCGATCCGTCCAGTCTCCTGACGAAGAACCTTTCGGAGGCGGTCCCGCACCACCTCCAGCTTCCAGCGCGCGCCACCTCAGCACAGGCAGGTCTCCCGACTCGTACCAGGAGCCAGCGCCCTACGCCGGACCCGGCCTGGTCGGTCGGCAGCTCTCTGAACGACGGGCGCCCGCCGCCTACGCCCAGCCCGAGGACTGGACCTACGCCGGCCCTTCGAACTCGGCCTCGTTTCACTCGTCGGCTCCGGGCACCTCCGATCGCCACCGCACGCCTCAGGAGCTTAATGCCAAGTACGGCAGCAAGTACGTCCCCGTCACGGCCAACGAGCCCGTTCCCGAGAAGCCAGTCTGGAGCCTTGGAAGCACCCTGCCCCGAGTACGGAGGGCGCCCAAGTCGGTCAAAACCATTGACCGGCAGTCAAGGCCACGTGTCGGAGCTTCGCAGTCGAGCGAGAACGCGAAAAGGCCGTTCAGCTGGCTCGGGCGCGGCAAGACCCTGGAAGAAGCCCGGTCCGTCTCCAAGCGCAGCGCCTCGGGAAACGAAGTCGGCTGCTCGGAGAGTGAAGAAGGCCACAACCGCAGCCACGACGAGTTGCGCGATTCAGGACGTCTGCCCAGGGGACAGGCGCTAGCCACCCTCGGCAGCGCGGCCAGGCTCACTCAGGACGTCCGTAAGGGCTGGCACGACGAGGACCGCGCCGCAGGTTCGCATGGCCCCCTCGAGCCTGGCAAGCGACCCGACGATGGTGCCGCCGACCTGGCCGAGATCGACGTGGACCGCTCGCTGATGGCCTTGGCCCGGCACAGCCGTCCGTCAGTGCCCTTTGACGAAAATGACCGCCGCGAAGGACAGCACGGTCCCCCCCATGGCGACGACAAGGCGGGCCGTCGACTTCGTGAGGCGCGGCAGAGGCTGCTACAGGAGGCCGACGAGATCCAGGCGCGCAGCGCGGGAGATGCTCGCAAAGACATCCTCACCGACGAGGCGGTCCATCAGGACGAGGAGGGTGATCCTGTCCCGATCAAGGAGGGCTCGACCAGCAGGGCCGATCACGTCCAGCGCCGGCAGTCGCAGCCCGGCTCTGCCCAGAGGCGCTCAGGCAGCCACGGCCAGAGCGGGCTTGGCACACGCGGCGCTGGCGGAGGAGGCGGGGCAGGCAACGGCGGCGACAACGACTCAAAGCTGCCCGAGAACTCGTCGAGCATGGACCAGACCCGGCATCCAGGCCTCTCAGGCGCCCGACCGCCACCCCGGGGCAGGACAGCCGGTGGACCCGCCGTCGGGGTCGGCACCCGGCACGCCTCGAACGTCAGCGCCAGCGCGCAGCACCACGAGGCGCCGCAGCTTCAGCGCAGTGCCTCCTCCCACATGTCTGCGAGGACGCGGCGGTCGTCGCACCCGACGTCGCTCCGGCGGCGAGGGCATCCTCCGGCGTCGCAGGCTGGTCGCGACCTAGGTGGCCGAGCCGATGACCAGTCGACGGACCCGGCACAGGGCGACGACCAGCTGCGCAAGTCGACCTCGTCATCCCAGCCGACCACCGACGACGGCCGCATCGGCCACATCGAGGCGCGCCAGGCGGCGGGTCCCAGGAAGAGCGACGAGGAAGGCGGACGTCGCAGCGGCGGTGGCGGCGGTGGCGGCGGCGAAGACACGCGGACTGCCTGGATGCAGAACAGCATGGGTCGCCAGTCGGCGTCGAGCGACGTGACCGCCACCAACAGCGACAGCCAGTATCGGCTCCACGACGACGACGACGACGACGACGACGATGGTGCCGGGCGGTTCCAGCGCAGGGCAAGCGAGACGTACGACGCCGTCGACGACCTGCAGCGGATCGCCTTTCCGAACCTGTGGAGCAAGTGGCGCTTCTACTCGCGCGAGTTTCTGGCCGAGCTCGTGGCGAGCGTGCTGCTGCTCGTCATCGGCACGGGCGTCAACTGCCAGGTGCGCCTGTCGGCCGCCATGAACTCGACGGGCGGCAGCTACACGTCGCAAAACACGGCGTGGGGGCTCGCCATCATGTCGTCCATCTACCTCAGCGGCGGCCGCAGCGGCGCCCACGTCAACCCGGCCATCACGCTGACGCTCGCCGTCTACCGCGGCTTCCCGTGGAAGCAGGTGCCGGTCTACTGGTCGGCGCAGCTGTTGGGCGCCTTTATCGGCGCCGCCATCACCTACAGCCTCTACCTGCCCGCCCTCAACGAGTACGAGGGCGGACCCGACGTCCGCACCTTGACCGGCGACCACGGCTCCGGCGAGCTCTTTGTCACGGTGCCTCAGATTGTCACCACCGTCGCCTCGGGCTTCGGGACGGAGCTGGTGGCCACCACCATCCTCACCGTCATGGTGCTGGCCGTCGGCGACGAGACCAACGCGCCGCCCGGAGACGGCATGACGGCCGTCGTCCTCGGCCTCGTCCTCATCATGGGCAACATGGCCTTGGGCTGGTCGACGGGCTTTGCCGTCTCGCCGTCGAGGGACCTCGGCCCGCGCATCCTGCTGGCGTGTCTCGGCTACGGCCGCGAGATCTGGACGCACAACTCTTCCTGGTGGCTGTACGGCCCGCAGGCCGGCTGCTTTGCCGGCGCCATCCTCGGCGGCCTCATCTACGACCTCACCATTTTCACTGGCGGCGAGTCGCCCATCAACTATACCAGAGAGGCGTGGCAGGATGCGACGCCCAGCCGCCTCGTCCGGCCGCTCCAGGAGGCAGTGGCCCGGTCGCAGCGGCAGAAGGCGTGGAGAGCCAGCGGCCAAGGCGACGACGACGGCGACGACGACGGCGACGACGGCAGCAGCTTCGGCCGCGGCCAGGGCAACGGGACGTCGGACGGCCGTGGGCGCGCCAGGTTCGGCGGGCTGTTCTCGAAGCGCGTCATGGGTGGCCGAGCGGCAAAGGAGGAGGCGGACCGGCTGGCGAACAAGGTGCGCGACGGCGGCGGTGGCAGCAGCCGTGCCAGCTCGGCAGCGTCCAGCCTCTCTTCCGGGCGCGGCGGCGGTGACCCCGCCCCGCAGCGCCAGCTCGATGTGCGGCCCGGCCAAGGCGGCAATGACTGGCCTACCTCGCAGCACAGCGCCAGCATGCTCGAGCTGCAGGAGCGCGGTGGCGTCGATGTCGGTGGTGGTGGTCGTCGGTGAGGCTGCATGGTGGAAAAGAGCGCGGCCCGCAGCGTGCCGAATGGTATCATTGTCTTGCTTGCTGGCTCCTGCCTCGCCTGTCCTCCATCGTCTGTTCGTCCCCCAGCCCGAGGCGCACGACCTCCCTCTCCTCGCGCAGCCACATCGCGCTCCGCTACGCCCCATCGCCGTAGAGGGCCCGCATCTCGTGGCCCAGCTCGACGCGGCGCTTGCCCTCGATCCACTCCATCGCTTCCTTGTACGTCTGCGGCATGACTCTGCGCGTCGGCGGTCCGACGTCGAAGCTGAAGTGGAACTGCCGGGGCCGCCGGTGTCGAAGCAGAAGCCGGGAGGGACGGAAAGTCAGATCGTTCTGCCAGCGGAACGAGCAAAGAATGGAGGCCGCGCCAGATCGAGGGGTGCACCGGCACGGCCACGGCCACAGCCACGGGGGCGACTCACGGTGTTGCTGCGGCTGCCGACGCCCGTTTCGAGGTTGACGACTTCGGCGAGGACGCTGACCCCCGCCACGGCGTGCTTGCCGTTGGCCGCGTCACCGGACTCGTCAGAGTACGTCACCTGCGACGAGAGGCGCAGGATGGCGCCGATGGGCACGGGAGCGTGGAAGCTGAGGGCGTCGAGGGAGAGGAACTGGACCTGGCGGTGGACGAACGAGGCGGCCACCATCCACGCCAGCTCGTAGGCCGAGCGCATCAGGAAGCCGCCAAACACCTTGCCGTGCACGTTGCGCTGCTGCGGGTGCAGGTGCATGGTCGCCGACAGCGCCGTCTTGCTCACGGGGACCAGGTGCTGGTCCGCTCCCGCCGCCGTCGCCGCGCCGCCGTGTCGCTCGTCGCTGGCCGAAAAGAGACCGGCGCGCAGACCTTCGAGGTACTGCGAGTGCAGCAGCACCGCCTCGTCCTTGGTCGGCGGCACCCGCTCCAGCGACGTGGCCGCCTCTTGACGCTTGCGCTTCTTGAAGCCTGCACGATGGCCCGTTCGAAGAGCGACGAGAGTCAGCTTGCACAGGCAGGGGAGAGCTGGCGGCTCGGGCGGCGTCGGCGTCGGCAACCTCACCTTCTCCGATGGCGTAGAGGCGCTTCTCGGCGTCGGTCTCGACGAGCAGCGGTGCAATCTTCTGACTCTTGAGCGTCGAGGCGTTGCGAGCCGCCATGGTGAAGCTGCGGAGGGCGGCGACGGCACTCGCAATGGCAGCGGCGTCAGCAGACAGCTCGAGCTCGCAACGGCCACCAGGGGCCCTGCCGGCCAGCTTGCTGCAACCAACTCACCGACCCGTCAGGCAGACCTTGGCCGGTCCAGAGAGGTTGTCGAGGCGCTCGATGCTGACAAACACCTCCATGCTTGACGACCCAACCTGTGCGGAGCGAGCAGAAGCAGCGAGCGATCCGCCATGTCAGGTCTCGTCCGCCGACGGGCAGCGTGGTGCGAGCCCTGCGTTCGGCCAGACTCACGTAGATGACGTGCCCGCTCAGCCGGTAGTTTGCGTCGGCGCGCAACGGCTCGAGCAGGTCGAGGCGATCGACCGAGGCGGTGACAATGTACAGGGGCGCCGACACGTCTCCTGCGCGAGGGGCGGCGCCGAGGGCGTGCTGGTACGAGATGGCGCCGGCCAGCGTGTCGAGGTCCTCGAGGATCTTGCCCAGCCGCACCATGCCCGACGTGGCAATGTACTTTTCCAGGAGCTCCGGGTCGTCGCGGAACGGAAGCCACAGCTCGACGTAGCTCTCGGCCATGTGCTTGGGCTTGAGCAGCTCCGCCTCGAGCTCCGGCGTCAGCTCGATTGGCCTCGTATCGCCCGGCTGGGCGTGCACCTCGTTGACCCAGCTGCGCTTCGGCGCCAGTCGAGCTGCGGAGCGGGCAGGAAGCAGCAGACGATGCGCCAGGTCAGCCGCCGTCCAGACGCCCGTCCTCGCAGCACCAGCCTCTATGGCACGGCGAGAAGATCGCAAACTCACTGGGCATGCGGACCTTGATGCGCTGCGGCAGCGTGCCCCGCACCTCGGCCATGAGCGAGCCCATCTCGCGCACCGTCTCGGTCTGCTGCTGCGTCCGCGAGGCCTGGCTGGCGTTGCATCGCCGCGATAGGAGCGACGGCGAGCGTGCGGGCGTTGCGAGCGTCGTTCTCGTCGCAGCGCGGAGGCCGCAAGCCGCCGCAGGGAGTGAAGTCATTGCGAAGCGCTGATGCAGGCGAGGCGGAAGGCTGGCGGCAGTGGTGGTGGTTGGTCCGAGGCCCGGCCACCCGCTAAAGGCGGGGAATATGCGGGGGCAGCCCAGAGGCCTCCGCCACCCGAATTCCGAGAGAATGGGCCAGATTCTCGCCACGTGGAGCCAACCCTAACCCTAGCCCTAACCCTAAGGGTTCCATCTATGAGGCAGAACGTGGATTGGGACGCATCAGCCATCTTAGAAGGGGCTGCCCAAATAAAGTGAGTATGGCTGCCTAATGAAAGTTGTAGATATCGTTGAGGAGAACAAAAGCTTGGCTGAGCCATACAGCAAGTGTCTTGGCCGTTGCTGAGAAAAACAGCCGGAAAGTTTTCAAAAACGAGTCGAGAACGACCAAAAACGCTGTCAACCCTGCCAGAGTGTACCAGCAGCCCATCCGAACGGTTCAATCTGTCACAGCAGCCTCAGAAAGGATACCAGTGAAGTCTCAGGGCAAGTTGATAGGAAGAAACTCGAAATACCCTGGAAAAGGGGTGTCAGACAGAGCGTTTTTGCTTGGAAATCGGCAGGAATGTCGATGTATTGGCACCAAAGAGGAGCGCAACCCCTGCTCACCCTATATTGCCAGAAGGCTGCTGCCAACAGCTACCCAATGCTGCAATCAGATCACAATTTCACCGCAAGGATGGGGAGAAATGGCAGAAGAACAGCTTCTACCCGCCTTCTACCCTCGCCCCAGCAGCAACTGCTCAGCCCACAGCGGTCCAATCTGTCAGCAGTCTGTACCATTTGAAAGCTGCAGTCAACAGCTTGACAACGGTGCCAGTGTGCAGAATTCTGCTTGCCTGGTTGCTGAGCTACAGCAGAAACAAGGTAGAAACAGCAAAAAAGTGCTTCTACCACCGCCAGTCTCCAACCAGCAGCGCTACAGGGCTCAGATTCTCACCAGAGCTGCTCCATATCATCAACTACAACGCTGCAAAGTCTCAGAGCTGCAGCCCTCCTCCCTGGCCCGACAGAGCAGCTTGAAATCTCAAAAATGCAACTTTTGACAGGCTCTGCTGGGCCAAATACAAATGCCAGCTGCGCCAAACTTTGGCAGCAAGTTGACAGTGATGCTGACAGTGGAACACCAAAGTTTAAAGGTGTTTGGACAAGAATTGACTGAAAAATGGCAGAAAAACCAAGATCCTGGCTGCTTCTACCCTTCTACCTGCCAAACTGACCATGTTTTTGAAGTTTATGGCCCGCGTGCTACATAAATTTTAGAATTTTTGGCGACCCCTAGGGTTACAAGGTGATCTGGGCAGGGTTAGGGGCGGACCGATTCTTGACAAACTAATTTTATATGATAGATAGGCCACTTGTATCCTACCATGCAAAGTAGGGGGGTCAGCAGATGAGCGGTCATGGAGATCGGAGCCTTCAAAGTTGGAGCGTTTTTGTCAAAAAGTTGTCAAAACCCAAACGTTGTTGCACCAAAAGGGGCGTAATGGAGGGTAGAAATGAGGCATACAAAGAGGCAGGGCTTTCCCTGGAAGGTCAGGGAGTGCAGGTGGAAAAAGTGGTTTTTGGGCCAAATCCTAAGGGGGGACCCTTGGGACCCCCTGGCTGACGGCAAAATCTCCACCGATCTGTCTGAAACTTTTGTGGTAGAGGGAGAGGGGCACAGCCAATGGGCACCCCAATTCCTGGCTGGATCAGACTTGGGGTTGGGGAGGAATGTCCAAAAACGTCAACCCTGAAACAGGGTTACGACTCTATTTCAGGGTCGCAAGTTGCGTTTCCGGCCCGACACCCAGGGTTAGGGTTACAAGGGGTATCCCTCCAAAAAAATTCGGGGTTGACCTTTTTTTATTGGCTAGATAGAAGGAGAAGGATTGGAATAGCAGGATAGACCCCCGACCCCGGACCTAAAAATGAAAACTGACGGAGCTATGGCCCGTCAAAGTTGGGGTTGGCTTATGTAAGCGACCTGAAAAGTTGCTCGGATCGCTCTGGGCCCTTATTGAAAGTTGTGCATAATACCAATGCAAGGCTGCATGCAAAAGATGGGGGCAATCGGAACGCTCAGTGGACGGCAAAACAGGAATTTGCATTTCTGACGATTGTCCTAAGGGTCCCCCCTTAGGACCGGGCCGACAAAAAAAGTTGCTCAGATTGGCCTGGGCCCTTAATGAAAGATGTGCAGAGGCCCATACTGAGCCTGCCTGTGGAATGGGAGCGCTTTTGCCCGGTTGGTTGTGGAGCAGTTGGGGTTGGAAGTTGGAGTCGGGGTTGAGCCAACCCCATCGGGGTTAGAGCCAACCCCGATCGGGGTTGAGCCAACCCCGACCAACCCCGACCAACCCCAACTCCCTCACAAGGGCCCACAAAGGCCCCAGTCTGCATGCAATGGCAAGCCCAAGGCCACTACAGTGTTGGGCACGGCCCTGCTGCCCTCTGCCATGGTGGTGCACAGGCTGGTCACACTGGTTGGGTGGATATTTACATTGGAGTGAAGGGGATGGTATGTACAGAGGATGGCAAAGGCTATGGACAGAGGAAGGAAAGGCTATCTACAGTGGAAGGGTTACTCTACTTGCCAAGGCACTCATAGTGGTTCCTGCGCAGGTGGATCAGACCCAGGTGTGGTCCCCTGGCACCCTCTGGGTAGAT